AGATTAGAGCCCAGATAAATGCAGCACAGAGTTCCAGTAGCAGACACATCTCTACATCAACTGTTCAGAGGAGACTCTATGCATCAGACCTTTTGGATCATCATTTATTTTTCAACAGCACAATGATGCCAAACACACCTCCAGTCTGCGTGAGGGCTACTTGACCAAGAAGGAGAGTGATGGAGTGCTCTGGCAGATGGCCTGGCCTCCACAGTCACCTGACCTAAAACCAATCGAGATGGTTTGGGATGAGACGGACCGCAGAGTGAAGGCAAAAGTGCTCAGCATATCTGGGAACTCCTTCCCAACTGTTGGAAAACCATTTCAGGTGACTACCTCCTGAAGCTCATCGAGAGAATACCAAGAGTGTGCAAAGCAGTAATCAAAGCAGAGGGTGGATGTTTTAAAGACTCTAAAACATGTTTTGAGCTATTTCACACTTTTTGGTTTACTGCATAATTTCATATGTGTTCATTCATAGTTTTGATGCCGTCAGAATCTACAATGTAAACAGTCATGAAGGAAAAACCATTAAACGAGAAGGTGTGTCCCAACTTGACTGGCAGTGTAGGTGCAATGATTTATTAAAACGTGCAAGCATACATGGATATACAGTATATAAGGCAGAAACAGTTTGCACAGGTCTATGGGAGAACCAGAAATACCAGAAAAGTCACCATTTGTTCACATGTACAGTTGTATAATTTTACAACACAGCTAATTATTCTGATGACTTTGTAATGTCCGCTATTTAAATTTCAAACCAAACCATATATTACAGATATACAGCTGGGACTTCCATCCTGGATTTACTGCATTGGCAGTGTGTTTGCTGAAAAATGAAGCTGTTGCCGATTAGATGCTTTGAAAATGGTTCAGCGATGGATCCAAATTTGATGGTACTTTTCTGTGTTCACAATTCCATCTGTTTTGAAAAAAAAAAACAAACCACTGGCTGAAGTGCATCTCCAAACCATGACAGCGCCTCCACTGCCTTAGGGGCATTTTGTAGTTCGTTTACTCTGGTCTGAAATTTGTGAACATGTAGATTTTTTCCATACAGAGATGAACTGTAATGCATAGCTACAAACTACATAATGTTCAGTACACTTACTGGCCAGATGTGTCTGGGGCATTTCATGGCTAGTTGGTAACCTGTACCTTACACATGTACATTGGTAACATGTACCTTATACAGCTATGGTACCTTGCTGAATGTCTGAATGCAAAGCATATGTGGCTATGGGAAGGTGTTTAGGCCTCTCTTGCACAGACATGCAACATTGCTTGCATTTTTCACACAAAATGCACTTTAAAATGTCCTTTTTTAAACTCCAGATTGCTCAGATTGCAGATTTTGTACCATTATTTATTGCACAGTATTTTACAGCATTGCTATTTTGTTTGATTTTTACTGTGTATTGTGTTGTTAAGGTGTCCTTTGAGTGCCTTGAATAGGATCCTTGTGATTCAAATGAGAAATTCATTTTCTCAAATATCATGTAATATAATTTATGCGTAGTTTTAAAATTAGCACTTAGCTGCAGTTCATATATAGTGTAAAAACTACTTCAGCAGAAACATATTGCCCCATAATTTTGTACTTATATTTCCACCTATAAATCCATTTTAAATAGAGAAAATGGGATGCTCTCCTCGCAGCCTGTCATTAGGCTGCACTGATGGCCTCTAGCAGTTTGCCCCATATAGGCTGGCTGTCATCATAGCCACTCAGCAGAGAGAGAGATGTGTGGTCAGTGTGATGACTCTGGCAGCGGTGAGACATCACTGACCCTGTCGTGCTTGTGGATGAATGGTTGTCATAGTGGCATATAAATTGGTAATAATAATAATAATAATAATAATAATAATAATAATAATAATAATAATAATAATAGCAAGTTTCTAGAGAGTTCCTGACTAGAGTGAATGAGTGACATCCTGAGGCAGGCAATATGCATAGTGTGTCCTCATTTCCACAATGACTATGTTAATTATATGAGATAATTGCAGTTTTAGACTTTTATTAATACTAATTTCATTTTTTAAATAACAAAAATTTAGACCACCCTTCATGTGGTTTAATATGTCTAATTATCTTTAATGGCCTAAATTACTTGGCATTTTCTGCTCAGTAGAACTGACCCTAGGGGGGGAGTTCATATTACACAACTACATGCATCCATCCAACCATCCATCCATTTTCTACTGCTTATCTATGGCTGGGTTGCAAGGGAAGCAGCCTAAACAGAGAAAACCCAGGTCCCTTCTCCTCAGCCACACCTTCACCAGCGCGTCCTGGGCCTCCTCCCAGTAGCACATGCCCTTAGAACAGGGGTGGGCAATTCCAGGCCTTGAGGGTCCTGCAGGTTTTAGATCTCACCTTGGGTCAACACACCTGAATCACATGATTAGTTCGTTACCAGGCCTGTGGAGAACTTCAAAACATGTTGAGGAGCTAATTTAGCCATTTAAATCAGCTGTGCTGTTCAAGGACACATCTAAAACCTGCAGGGACACCGGCCCTCGAGGCCTGGACTTGCCCACCCCTGCCTTAGAACCTCACCCAGGAGCCACCCAGATGGCGTTCTAATGAGATGCCCAAACTACTTCAGCTGGCTCCTTTTGATGTCAGGAAGTAACGGCTGTACTCTGAGTCCCTTGTGAATAACTGAACTTCTCACCCTTTCTCTCCAGGCACCCTTTGGAAAAGTTCATTTCTGCTGCTTGTATCTGTAATCTCAGTGTTACCCAGAGCTTATGATCACAGGTGAGGGCAGGGATGTAGATCAACCAGTAAACTGACAGCTTTCCTTTTATGCTCAGCTCTCTCTTCACCACAGCGGACAGCTACAGTGTCTTGCTCTACTCTCCACTTATTCATGAAAAAAACACATGAGATTCCTAAACTTCTCCACTTGGGGCAGCAACTTGTCAAAGTAAACACTCTACTCTTTTCCTGCTGAGAACCTTGGACTTGGAGGTGCTAATTCTCATTCTGCCACTTCACACTTAGCCCCAGTGCGAGCTGCCGGCCACCACCCGATGAGCCGGCTCATCCACAAAAAGCACAGATGAGATCCTGAAGCCTCCGAGGTTCATTTGGCTCTGCCCAGAAATTCTATTCATAAAACTCATGAACAGGGCAGCACTGCTCAGGACTTTCTTGTGAGCACCTACACATCAAACAAGTTAAGAAATTATAAAGAGCTTCAAGCTTGCTTTCACATTGTTGTATTTCAGAATCTGTTGGGGTTTTTAATAAAAAGGCATAAAGAGTTTGTTTGGATTAGCTAAACTGCAGCAGCCCTGCAACCTGTAACTATGTAACAGATGTTCCTGGTGAAATGTAACGATAACACCCAGTCAAGTTCACACTGTCACATTTTATAGGCTGTTGTTTAAAATAACAAGAACATAAAGACTAGCTATGTTACTATTAGTGATGGGATTTCTGGCTCTTTTTAGAGAACCGTCTCTTTCGGCTCGGCTCACTAAAAAGAGCCGAGCTCTTTCAGCTCCCAACCGGCTCTGCAGGTTGCATTGTTGCTTTCATTAATTTATTATCAAAAACAATATAAAATTATGCACAAAAGGAATTACTGAAAAAAAAAGTGGTTTTATTTATAAACATTTATATGTACGTGCTTCAGAATTTGTGCGTGGTTTGGAGTTTGTACGTGCTGTGTGTCTAGGGGCCACCGTAAATATACTTTTATTTATTCACTCCACATAAAATGTAATAAATAAACTATAAAATACAAAAACTAACCATTTACATTTCAACTTTTAACTATTTAAATTTTCAGCTTTCTCCTTTTAAACAAATTTAAAGTGAAACAACACAAAACACTGCAAACCACAACACAATAAAATATAAATTAAAATATGCAAAACAAAAAGAAAATGCACATTCTGGGGTGATTTTTGGAGAGAGTGTTTTCCTGCTTGGAGTTGCATACATAGGATTCACTGCATGAATAAACTTTCTGAATCCTTTATGATCCGCAACTAAAAATAAAAATAGTTGTGGATGATTACTTTACCTTTCTAATGTGACGATGTTGTCTCTTGTTGTTGTCCCTGGCTCTCTTTCATCACTAGTTACTATGCAGCTACAGCTGGCACGCCTAAGATGTGTAATATAGCAGCAGTGCTACGATGGATAACTACAATGGCATATTTGTCTCATAACTTGCCAGTATAGCAATTCTGTGGTGATACAAGCACATATATTTGTAATGTTGCTGAAGGTAAAGTTAGCTTTGTGACCTCTGCTCCTTGATGCTGCTTCCACTTTAGAAAGCACAACAGTCACCATTTGGCCATATGTACAGTTTTACAACACAGCGGCTCATCATTCTGATGACTTTCTAATGGCCAGTATTTAAATTTCAAACCAAAAGAAAGCATCCATCTCCTTATATTACATGTATACAGCTGATGCTTCCCTGTGCAATGGTCTCATAACACATTACATTGGTTATGTCACAGTCCCAAGCACTATTCATCAACCAATTAGCTGGAGATGTAGCAATGTCCAAGCAGGAATTGACCATTTCCACAACACTGTATGAGTTCACACAACATTCTCTTCCTCGTGGTGGTACCTTACAGAGGACAGGCTCTTGTCAACATCCTAGGAAATATAGTGAACTATGGAAATTTGGGGTTCTAACAGGTTCAGCGGGGCTGAATTTTCTCCCCAGTCCTCTTGGCTTCATTAGATTCTTAGCCCTGCACGAAGGTTCAAGTGATCTGAATGAATGAATGTACCAATGTGATCCTTTAGGAAAACTTGTTGGAAGTCAGGCGGGTAGGAGAGAAAGTGTCTGGGAGACCAACAAAGACCACTGACCAAAGGCCCAGCAGGACTAAATATATTTATTGGCAATAAAGACAAATACGGTATATAGTATGCAGGAAATTCTTAACTGTTTGCCACATCATGTGTTTGAATGAGGCATGTTGTACAAAAAGCTTTGAGTATGAGTAAAGTGCTATCTAAGAAGCAGTCCATTTACAATACAACTACACTAACCACACTACTGTTCCTCTAATGGCCACTTGAAGCCATTATGAAAAAAGCTAGGGGAAAATTTAGTGGTGTGCCTGCTCTGATTAGCAGGTATGCACGCACGCAGGCAGTCGACAGTTTCCCTTTATTACGCTATTTTGTGTATCTGTGCTGTTGGGGGTCATGTTAAAATACAAATAAGATATACAAATAACAGAACTCTTATTTTTAGTTTTTATTTATTTTAAGTTAGTGAAGTATAACATATTTGCTTTACAGAAGGGAAAAGGCTGACTTTTATTGAAGTTCAGTTTATATCTTGAAAGCTGGGAAATTGTCTAAGAAGATTCAATGCAGACAGCAGTAAGGTTACTGGCTTGGAAAGAAAAAGCAGGAGGATCATCTGCGTCAAGCGAGACCTTGTGCTCTGTGTTGTTTCAACAAATCCCAGATACTTCTTTGCAACTACAAAAAGGCAATGGCAAGGGGTTCTATGGCCTGATCCAAAAGCAGAGGGCTGAGAGGGCGACAATTGGACATTAGTCTGTATTGTAGCAGACGACTGAGAGTACAGTAGCTTAATCAATGAAGTAAATTTTGCTCCAAATCCAAATCTCTCAAGTGTGAAACTCAATTCAATCAAAGGCTTTTTCAGTATCAAGAGAGACAACACATTGAGCAGAACATGCAGAGCTGGAAACTATGTTAAGAAGCCTTTTTATGTTGAAATATAATGAAGCCTGTTTGGTCTTTTAATTGTGGGGAGAACTGTTTCTAGTCTATGGGCAAGAATCTTGGCTAATATTCTGGTGTCTGTGTTCAAGAGAGGAATCGGTCAAATAAGAGGCACGTTCCATTGGATATGTTCCTTGTTTTGCAGTAAGTGTCATACAGGCTTCGTAACATGACAGAGGGAGAGATTAAAGCAGTCAGTGAGGGTTGTGCCAAGTTGTGCAGACAGTAATGTAGAGAAGCGTTTGAAAAATTCTGCAGGATAACCATCCGTACCTGAGCAGCTGCCAGAAGCTATGGCTGAGGAAACCAACCTTGTTTTAAGTTCTGGTGGAATTTCAGGAATGTTAGGCTTAGATTAGCAAGAAAGTCATTAATTTCATTGCATTAGTTTATGATTCCATACTGAGATAAAAAGGCTTGAATGGCTAATGCAGATTTGCTTTTACTTTACTCTTAACAGGTAAGCGAACTAGAACTAAGCCGACAATTAAAGTCTTAAAATTACCCATCAATCTCTGTTAGGACCATAAACACTAGAGCAACCAGTGTTGCACAATTTCTCACTGACTATAACAACGGAGCCTCAATGGGGAATATTCTGGGTGATCAGTAAAAAGACCTCTCAGTGAGTGGAAGTGCTGGCCCCTCCACCGTGAAAGGAAACAGCTATTATCAGAGCTCCAGGCAAGCCACATCAGTGTTATAGTGCTTAAGAAAACCTTCCTTCTCTCAAATGGATGAACCTTTTAAACCTTTAACATCCATCTTAGAAAGTTTAAATGCTGACTCATTTGATTCCTAGAACAAAGAGAATGTGCAGACTTGCCTTAAATGATAGGGACGGAATAATTATGCAGTAGGTGGGAATTAGTCCAGAACAGGTAAAAAGAAAGTTGAGTAGATGTGTGAGACTCTTGGTAGTGACCCTTACCCTCCGCCAACTAGAATGTCTGCCAGAAAAAACAAGCAGCAAGCTCTTCAAACGCAACAGAATTAAAGTGTTGAAACAATCCAACCACTAGGGATGGGTACCGGTATCCGGTGCCATGATGGCACCAGTCAAAAGGTCCAAAGTCTGGCTGTACTTCACAGCAAAAGATGCAAACTCAGCAGCCTGCAACAAGTGCTTTAAGCTGATACTGTGATACTGTCAAAGGAGGTAACACCTCAAATCTGATGAAACACCTGGCGACGCATAGCGTTTTTTTTAAAAGCCGAGAAATGCGCCGTATTTGATAGCTTGCTGCGAGACCTCACACCGAGCACATCTACTGCGGGTGTGGTGCCTGTTATCGGACCCGGAGTTAGCAACATCCCCCAAAAACCCAAAGAGGAGAGTCCTGGCCCCTAGCCCTGCCAGTGTAGCAGAAATGATGAGGATGATGATGCAGCAGCAGCCGTTCTCTGCGTGAGTAGCTTAATGTTGTTCGTGTGTAATTTACGCTGAGTAGGCTAACCACGTTATTACATTAATGCATGTAAGGTGAACTAGCAAACACCGTCGTAGTTACATGCGGCTGTCTTCTTGTTTGATGGCAGATACTCCCTTCACCCTGGACAAAAAGGCTAA